GATCCACTGAGGATCCTGGAGTGGCTGTTTCTGCCCCACTCACCACCAAAGACTGTGTGGACAATTAATGAAATGTTTGTTAAGCTTGTCATTAAAGGCAGAGGACGTCTACAGGAGTTGAATGGACAGGATCCAGTGACCATCTACATCCCAGCGACGAAGGACAACCTTGACTGGCTACTGGCTGAAGATGCAGGATTCCAGGCAGCCTTGGCAGGCTATGACGGTGACATTTCCACTCACTTTTCTAAACACAGACTTTGGGCAGAAATAGGTAACCTACCCTTAAAAGCCACATGCAAATGCCAACACCAGCCAGTAAAAGGCCTCACGGTTTTTACCGATGCATCTGGACAGTCCAAAAAGGCTGTATTGACGTGGGTAAACCCTGCCACAGGACAGTGGGAAAAGGAGGTACAGTGAGGAGGATTATCGAACTGACTGGGAACGATTCAAGACCTGGAAGGACTTGTATGGGGCCTGAAAAGACTATTACTCCACGGACTTTCTCGTTATCCCCCAGCATTATACCAAGTTTAATGTACTCCCATGTTAATTCCCCTTGGTTTATACTGTTCAGGGCTTGCCTGGACTTGCCTTCACATTTTTCCCGCCATAAGTTGTTTACTCCCTTGTTCTCCCCTGGTTTTCCCGCTCATCTCTCACTGATTGGCTGATGGATGCCGCAGTGCAGAGTGAGCTACCATTGGTCCTTTCCCCTGGATACTCCAAAGTTCCACCCATCTTTCTCCTATTCCCCAATCCCATTCTGCCCTGAGTTGTCAATCCCATGCTCCGCCCCAGTTGTGGAACCTCCTCTTGCCCAAACCTTAAAATCCTTGTTTCCCCCAATAAACTGGCCATTGCACCCTGACCTTCCACTGTGTCAGAACCCTTTTTGTGCAGTGTCGCATCCTTATTCCTTTTACCCTCAGGCCGTGGCAGTACAGACCATAAGCCATGGTTCAGTACAAGTCCTAGAACTTGCAGCTATTCGTATTGCCTTTGAACTGTTTCCTGATCAGCCAATTAACACTGTTACAGATTCATGCTATGCAGCAGGTTTGGTTTCATGTCTCGAGGCCTCCTTCCTTCGAGATGTTGCTAATCCACACTTACTTGCTGAAATACGTACTGTATGGGTTCTTGTTAACCACAGAACATTTGATTTCTACATAATGCATGTTAGGTCACACACAGAAATGCTGGGGCCTATAGCAGAAGGGAACCAAAGAGCTGATGCAGCAGCTATGTTTACTACAGTGCCTAGAACTCTCGAGCAAGCTAAATTGTCTCATTCTTTTTTCCACCAGAACACATGTTCTCTGAAGAGACAGTTTCAAATCACCCTCAGTCAGGCTCGAGACATAGTCATGTCATGTCCAGACTGCCAACAAATTACTCCAATGCCATCCTAGGAAGCAGTTAACCCCAGAGGACTGATAGCTCATGAGGTGTGACAGACAGACATTACACACATAGCTGAGTTTGGTTATGTTCATGTTACAGTCGACACACACTCCAGATACATAACTGCCACTGCACATACCAGGGAAAAGGCAAAAGATGTCATAAGGCACTGGCTTAACTGCTTTGCAACACTAGGGACCCCAAAAAAGATCAAAACTGACAGTGTTCCAGCATACATTTCAGCAAAGGTCGAAACTTTCCTAACAGACTGGGGAATCTCTCAGTCCACAGGCATACCACATTCACCCACAGGACAGGCTATGGTAGATAGAGCACACCGTACCCTAAAAGACATGCTCAAAAGACAAAGAAAGGGGGAGTCCATCTGTAGTCCACAGGAACATCTGTGGAAGGCAACATATGTCATAAATTTTTTAAATTGTGACAGTGCAGAGAAAAGTAGGTATGAGAGACAACACAGACCTCAGGCATTTTCGTCTCCCAAACCACTGGTCATGATACAAGACTTAATATCAGGGCAATGGATGGGACCGGCGGACCTCGTGACATGGGGGAGGGGGTATGCGTGCATATCTACAGATAAAGAATTAAAATGGATTCCTTCCAGGTGTGTCAAATCCTACGGTACACCCTCACAGCAGCAGCAAGAACCAGACTGATAGTGGAAGAGACTGCAGATAAAGACACATAACTGATGTTTACTACTGAAAATGACCAGTGTGGCAAAAATATAGAATCTTATTAAAAGCCATAAGTGTGCATGTGAAGAAAGAATGAGGTGGCTGCTGGTGTGAGTGTGTTATGAGTGAATGAAAGAGAACTGTGTGAGAGTACAAGCACTTTAAGCCTTAAAAAGGTAACACTACCTCAGCCACATGGTCACATTAGAAGAATTCAATTCATAATGTTTACCTCCCAATAAACCCTGTTGTCGAAATAAAGTGGAATTTTCCCTGTTCTACACAAACCCTCAGACAAATAAAGGTTAATGTTTCTTGTTTCTCCCAGTTACATAAGTACCACTCAGTTTTATAAAAAACCCTCAGATCGATAAAGTTGTTGTTTATCCCAGTTACTCTACACCCCTTAGGAAAATAAAGGTTCAAGTTTATATCAAGCAGGTTCAAAAGGTTAAAGAGGGAAATTCTAATAAGTAGGTCTGTTAAAGAAGCAGGGTGAGGCAGTGAGCTGGGTCACTGTGATACAGTGGTAATTGTTAAAGGTTTCACAAGGTTTAAAAATGTACTGTTCTATTACTTGCAGTGTTCTATGATTCGTCTTAATAATAAAACCGAGGTAGATGTAGGGACGTGTTTTAGGGATGTTGGATGAGGCACCCTGGGAGATGTAGTCCCAAATGTACTCAAATACACATGGGCAGTAGCAAATCCCATGGTGGTTGGTTAAGAGAATCACATGTTGTTTTAAAGTGCATATAAAAGATGCTGTTTGCTTCCAATAAACGGATTTGGTTGTTGGGACTCCAACCAACTGGGTCGTGTGGGTTTATTTATTTATTATATTAATAAAGCCACACATTCCTGGGTTTAATCCTCCTGGAGAACTCAAATTGCTAGTTATGCTCTCAGCTCAGAGTTTCGTTTTGGAAAAATGTGACAAACAGTAGTGGCAGAGAGCTTTTAAACAACAGACCTCTTGTAAAAGAAGTTACTCAGGCAGGCTAACTTACTACCTGGCAGATTAGCAGCTAGGAAGAGTATTTAAACTCTAGTACAAGTTATTGTTTCTTAATACGGTGAATGTCCTTGCTTCTTTATTCAGTGATTTTCCATCTGAAACACAACCAGGCTAAGGAAAAGAACCCACGCGTTTATGAGCTATCCTTGGTTGGCTCTGCGTGTGTGAAAATCATAGAATCATAGAATGGTTTGGCTTGGAAAGGACCTTAAAGATCATCTAGTTCCAACCCCACTGTCATGGACAGGGACACCTTCCACTACACCAGGTTGCTCAAAGCCCCATCCAACCCAGCCTTTAACACTGCCAAGGATGGGACATCCACAACTTCACTGGGCAACTGCTCCAGTGCCTCACCACCCTCACAGTAAAGAATTTAATCCTAATATCAAATATAAACCTACTCTCTTTCAGTTTGAAACCTTTCCCCCTTGTCCTGCCACTACAGTTCCTGACAAAGAGTCCACCTCTGGCTTCCACGCAGGCCCCCTTCCAAAATTGGAAGGCTGCTATGAGGTCTTCATGTAACCTTCTCTTCTCCAGGCTGAGCAGCCCCAAGTTTCTTAGCCTGTCTTCATAGGAGAGCTGCTCCAGTCCCCTTATCAACTCTGTGGCCACTCTCTGGACTGTTCCAACAGTTCCATGTCCTTCTTATGTTGAGGGCACCAGAACTGTACACAATATTTCAGGTTGGGTCTCACTAGAGTGGAAAAAAGAGGCAGAATCATCTCCCTCAACCTTCTGGCCACTCTTCTTTTAATGCAGACCAGGGTACAGATAGGACTGTGAGTGCACACTGCTGGCTCACATAGAGCTTTCTGTCAACCCCCAAATTCTTGGGTTGGACAAGATGATCTCCAAAGGTCCCTCTCTCAACTTAAACCATACTGTTACTCTGTGATTCTCTGTGGGTGAGGTATAACTAGAAGTCAGATCTCCCTTTCTCAAGACAAATGCCCAAACAACCATGCTGCTGTGAAAAAAAGCGTGCAGTAGCATTACCCCATCACCATTTCTGGAGCAAAGAGAGATCCCAGTATTTATTCCCAGACAGGTTTTCAAGCACTTAGGCTCTAAGATATCTACCTCTATCTATTTTCACATCCAGGTATTTTTTGAGCATGATGTAGTTTGCATTACTAGTAATCCTCAAGGAATCTCACTGTTGAGTTTCTCCTTGAACCTTTGTACGCCCTTCCACATTGAGAAGGACCTTTGCAAATAATCTTAAGTAAGTAGTTCTGTGTGATGCAAAAGAAAATGGAAATGAAAAACAAATACTGTTCAAGAGTAAGTACCATTCAGGATTATTTTAAGTTTAAAAGAAAGTACTTCAGAGAAAAAAATAAATACTGGACAATTCTAGACTTTTATGTGCTGGAAACTCTAAAAACTTCAATACCAGGGTTTTCAGAATAACTCATATAGAGAATAATTTTTTTCTTAGGAGTAAATTTGTTTTCTCACTTTTACACCTTGATGACACAGCATATGAAGTGATATATATTGTGAATGCTACAAAAAAAAAATGTATGTAGGGTATTTTTCCAAGGTGCAGGCAAGTGTTATATGCAACAACATAAAATAAATTTTATTATGTCACCTGTGATGATAAAAATAAATTTGTATAATAAAACAGGTATCTTATAAACACAATTTTTTTCAATTTCCAAAGAAAAGTAGTCACCATTACTAGTTAAAAATGCATAAATTACTAAATATATTCAATCTTGAAAAAAAATCACAGTAAAGACTATTATTACAAGTCATCTAAAATGTAAAAATTTGGTAGTATACTTTTCTACTGATATCAAACCCCCTGTAACAGTAACTCCAATAATTCTGTATTACTTTAGAATCTTTATATTTACCCACGCACTGGAATATTCATATTCCTTGCAGATTTAGCAACTTCTTCAAACTTTTCTATGCTTTCTTCAATTGAACAATTAATATTCATTTTGCTAAAAGATTCAGATGCTGCGCCAAATACTGAGACTTCTGTAGCTCCTGCTGCAATCTAAAAAATACATTTCAATAAAACAGCATCATAACACTATATTAAATATTAGATCAAGCACTTAATTCTGTACAATACTCCAGAATTTTAAAGTACATTAAGTATATTATCCATATCTAAAATATAAGTTTAATTCAAATTTTTTTAAGCTATCACACACAGACAGATTGAATCAAATTTTGAGTTCATTCACTATGGTTATTTCCTTCCTCTTCTAGCCAATTAGGTAAACATGTTTTTAAACTGATAAATGATAAAGGTAATAAGATGCAGGAAATCACATGAACCAACTATAAAAATAACAATTATTGATACTTATATTTTATTTTTCAGAAAAGGGAAAGATCATATATCAACTCCGAAATATCCATCCCCTGCACAGTCTGTTCCTCCCAAATGCCAGGAAGTCATTCCCATGCTTGGGAAAGCTCTCTGTGGGCATGTGTCTAGAAGCAACAACAATAACTAATAGAGATTTCTTTGTTAGAGCAGCTCTAGGATCAAGGGCTCCACTGGTCTTGGTGTCATAGTTGCTATGGATAATATGGAAAATGTGTATGTGAGAGCCTGCTGAGAAAGTCTCAGAGCAAACACCAGCCTAGAAAATGTGTAAATGTGGTGACTTAACTCAAAGGGCAATAAGCCTGAGCTTGTACTGAGTAAATCAACTAACATGAGGCAAACTAGAAGGCTGAAAGACAAATGATAGGAGAATAAAATATTTAAGCTTAGGAGAAGAGTTAATTAATTAATTCTCATTCTCCAGTGAGAATAATACTCTTGTTTTATGAAAAGGGATGAAGATTAGTCTTTGCTTCTGCAGGATAAGGTCTAAGCTTCAGCAACTCTTACAGGGACAAATATTCTTTCAAACAGAGGGGGAAAAAATATCATCAAGAAAGAGTGGAGGAATCACCTACAATTATTTCTTAATTGTTTTCCTTTCATTATATCACCAAATACAGTATCGAGATATACTGTATACATATATAGCACAATTAATTCTACTCATACAAGCTACCATTGAGACAAAGTCATGGCACTATAAGCTGACTATTGATAGCTAAGTTGACTATGCACAGGATTCTGTTTCATTCATATGCAGTATAGGAACTGAATGATAGACTACACCACAAATATCCACCAAGAAGTACACTTTCCAAATACAGTTTGTCCTATATCAGGACAGAAACACAGAAATATTAAGAATTTTCAGAAAACAAAAAAATGCAAAGATTGGACTATCAATGTATAAGTTTTAAGACTGAAATGCTCTATTTTCACACTTCCAAACACTTCGAGTCTATAATTTTGAGTACTTATTTTGTATGAACTGAAATAATTTAAACTTTAAAACCCTACCAAAATGAAATGCAGAATTGCTATAAAGCATTTTCACATCCTCATTCTTCTTCAGTACTTTCTAATAAGCAGACACTCTTCAGAAACTTTTCTAGGGCAAACTTTTCATATACAAGCACTTTTTATATACAAGCATATTTTAAAGGAACTTAAAAAGACTGATCATCACTTCCATCAAAATATACATACATAGAGCGTAATATCACTCTGAATATTTGCTCATTTTTCATAATGAAAACTGAGACTTTTCAATTAACTTATTTCTAAGATTAAATAGCTAGTTTATGGTACTGAAGTGAATATCTATGAAGGCACTTACAGCAGAATGAAAACCTTGAAGATTAGGCGTGAGAACCGGATACTGGACTCCAGGATGCCGCTCAATGCCCCTCATTACTTCTTTGTGATCTGCCATCTAAAATACATAAATAATTTGTATTGATCAGCAGTCATTTTCTGATTTTATACAGCTAAACAGAAAGTGGCCTAGACTGTGGGTTTGCCTTCATTACTTTTACAGTGCATACAAAAAGTCTAACAACCAAGGGGTTAAACTGATGTTGCGCAAGTACTCCTTTTTTAATTTCTTAACTTTTAAGCATTTGAGTTGCAATCTTTTCAGATCTCTATGATTATAGGATTGGAGCTATGATTTCTTTTTGTGTGTATCTGTAAAAATATAATTTGCATCATAAATTGACAGGCTTGTGATCATGCTGTTCATCAACTGTTATAGCAACTTTAATCTTACCTCACTGGACTCAACAGATGGAATTAACAGAATAACTGACATTTAAACAACATCCAAATCTTGAAAACTTCAGCACTCTGATAAATGCAACTTCACAATGTTAAGCATAACTGAACTTCAAATACTCAAATTGTAATCAGCATATTTGAAAAGACTAAACACAAGTCTATCCCTAAAAAAATATAGCAAAATCCAACTGTCTGCCTAGTGTAGCATTTTAATATATTTAGAAGTTTCTTTCTAAGGAAGAAAATACTTCTTCACTATAGCAAAGATCAGAGCATTACTTTATTCAAGGATTTGTTTTCCTTAGTCTCCCCTCACAAAAGAAACTGCCTTTTTAAGACACTTTTACATTTTTCTCATTCACACTCAAGCTTAAACATACTACATGTACTAATCAAGATGAATGAAAGACTTATTGATGTAATACAAAACAGGTTATTTAGGTAAGCACATTTTCCTGAAAGAAGTGGATGGAAAATGAATATTTTTCAATGGTGTGCATTCCTGAAAACAACACAGTTAATAAAACATATCCCTCTTATTTCATGTCTTAAAGATTTTGAGTTTTAAAAAATGAATAGTGTTTAGTTTTTAAATTAGCTCTCATAAAAGCAAATCTCTCGAGAAAACAATATTAAAATGGATTTCTGATTCTTTCCGCACTGGTGAAAAGTCATTTGAGAAGTACCATATGAAAAGATATATGAACTACAAAGCTTTCATTACGTCTTACTTTCAGCAGATACCTTATTGATAGCTATGCAGTACCACAATTCTAAATACATGATATTAAATTACACCACATTATTAACTGAGAATACTACTGGCAACCTGGAATCTTCCTGTCACTGGTTTCCTACTCTGAAAATTAATGGATTAAAAATATCAGAAAAATTCACGTATGCCTCCTCAAATGTAAGCCCAACATATCTATAAGGAAGTGGATAGGAAAAGTGTCTAAAAGTCAGACAACTAATTTCTCATCAGGAAACAAGTGATAGCACAAGGCAACTTTTTCTATCTGCTTCTACTTAAACTAAATCAGTCTGATAACCTCACAAAGAAACCTTTGTTAACACATTAATTTTTTAAGAACAATTTTTCCTTAATTTTATATAAATAGTATCTACATTTCTCAGGACAAGGAAGAATGTTTGAAACCAAATGATTCATTAAATGGCAAACACTGGAACTAAATCCACACCTCACAATTACAGCCTGACTTAAAATACACCAGAAAACCAAAGTGACACTTTTTCAACCAGTATAAACCTGCCAGATCCAAAAAAATATTATATGTATTAAATCTGTCCCATTACTATTTTTCCTGTAAGTAAAATCCCATCTTTACACATATTTCACGTTACAAGATTTTAAATTGTAATAAAATATTTCTTTTCCAAATTTCTTTTAAAATAAGCTTCCTAAAGGTAGGTATTTATAATTTTTGGCCGTTTAGGTTATAGGTGTGGGATCCTGTTTTACATGGCACCTTGCTACTGTGGAACTTTTTCTTGCAGCTTTTTTCAGTAAAAAAAATCTCTGCCAAGAACAACAGCGGATTGGAAACCATAAAAAAACTTTAAAATACTAAAAAAAGAAGTGAATGAGTGATCTAAACATAACCGTGAATTCTGTTCCCATGACCCATGAAAAAAAAAAAAGGAGCAAAGAAAAGACAAAGTCAAGACTGCACTCTCTATCAATGCAATATAATCTTATTTTTTAAATAAAAAAAAATTTTAAGCACAAATTAAGCCATTAAAACAAAGTGTTTAGACATGACAAACTCATGCTAAATTTGGTACTTCTAATGGCTTACAGGAGAAGGAAATAATTAAACAAGAAAGGAAGAAATACACCTTTGCTTTAGACTTTCTCTTATAATGTTTAAAAACCTACATAAGTCTTTGTTGCAGTTACTGCCAAATTTTGATGACATTTGGAAAATCTTAACTTGGTCACCTTTAACAGATACAATATCATTGCCCCTGCATTGATGCCAAAGAAATTCTGCATTGTCACTCTTCCCCTTTCCTATTATCCTTCTTCTAGACTATTCCCTCGTGATCCCGAGAACACTGAAATAAATCAAAGGCGTCTCTCAGAGTGCTGTACAGTTTGCTTTGCTAACTCATGAATAAGCATGACCATACTATGTTTTTCTCAGATAAAAGCTGTAAAATACAGTCCAGGCCCTGGATGTACTCTCAGTTTAAAATATAAAACTTTATATATATTTTGACAGATGTGCAACAAACATTGTTAAAAACATGTTAAAAACTGAACTCAAATTAATTAGTTTCATGTTTTAATTTGTAAATAACTTGGGATCCTCACTAAATATAAACCATTCAAATGCTTCTGTGCAAACAAGTGTGTAATTTCATGAAAAACAGTTTAAATTATATAGACAAGTATTTCCTCACTTATATAGACTTACTTCCTTCCTTGCAGGGAATAATTAATTTGCACAAACAGGACCTATACAGTATACTTCAGGACTAAACCCAAATATGCAATGTTAAATCTTACATGAAAAACTGGCACTTCTAATGCCAGTTCAGTTTTGCTGCTGATTTCAGAAAGGCTAGTGTTTCTGCTAAGTTGTACCAAACATAAAAATTTTGGACAAACAATGAGTAAATTATTATGATTCATCAAAACTCAGTGTGGCTGCTGATAGAGTGCTAGAACTGCAAAATAAGTAGCATGCCTAACTACTACTCCATATAAAAAGTCCCAAATTTAGATCATCCAAACACATTTCCAAATGTGGAAAATTACATTTCATTTAGGGAAAAAGAAAATAAGGTATGCTACTTTCCTTTTTTACATCAGTGATTATTAGTTTTAGAAGAGTAGAAAAGAAGTAGTAACATTAAATTATATTAATGATTTGTCATTTATATCCTAAATATCTAGTTACAACTGAATGTCACATAAATGGAATGGCATTTAAATCGAAATAGTTCTGAATGGAGATGATTTTACATACCTGAGGCACCCATTTGGATGAAACAAAACTGGTCACTTCTACTACAGGCAGGCCTGTTTTGGAAAGCCGGTTGATTAACTCAATTTTTATATCAGTTGGGACTATCACCTACAGACATGGAGAAATACTTTACTAAAATATTTCATATGATAAGAAACTTTTGTAAGTGAAATGTTCTCAGTACATAATCAATACTTTTTTTTTTTTTAAACAAACTCCACTCACACATTTTATCATAACTCTACTGTTTCCTGACAGTAGGAAACTTCTGAATAAGGAAGGCACTAGGTGGTATACACAATCCTACTCCATTTTCTGTCCATCACAAAAGAGACACTTCTGTGTCACTGGTTATAGATCTGGCCTTTAAAAAAGTTATTTGTTACTAACCAAATACTAATCTAGCAAAGAAGTAGCAAAGGAAATAGTAACAATTCAACCAGAGAAAAATGTGAGGAAAAAGCTCTACAGCTGAGGCAGAGTAATTCTATTCTGTTAATACTATTAACATGTTTATACTAATAATATTATGAATAAATAATATTTATATTTAATATTACTAATGTAGTACTACTAACGTGTTTGATATCAGTAACAATTATATATGTGAGCTTATCCTCCTGTTTGTGGAAACAGATGACTGTTTTGATACATGTACCCTACAGTCTCTTTCAATCTTCTTCCTTGCTTCCCTACCACCCTTCAGGCAAATAATATTATCAGAAGAGTAATACTTTTCCCCCATGTCTGTTTAGCAGGAAGCATGATTAAATCCATTTTAGTCTTCTATATTAGCACTTGGAGCACAAACACATGTTACAAAGATAGTTAGTGTTTACCAAGTACACCATGACAGAATGCTATTCACTGGCAAGACAAATTCCAGAAAAAGAAATGGCAGTTAAGTAACAGAAAGGCTAGTTAGCCAAGTATAGAAAGAAACTGTATGATTTAAAAGCTGGGTAAATAGGAATACACTTTTATTCTAATACAGAAAACAGTTATCAATATGTAAAGAAATAGATATATTTAATAGTGCGAAAGGAAAGGAACTTAATTAGCAGGACGTACATGGTCTACACAATGAAAATAACACTAATGTCTATGTCAAAGTACTCAAAAAAAAAAAAAAGGAGAAAAGTTACCTTTTCATTTTGTAATCCATCCCTTGGCCCAACTTCTACAATCTTTATGTACTCAGGTAGTCCAGATGCTTGAGGTTCCTGAAATAAAAATCAATACTGAAACACAAAACAATGGAGATCACCAAGATCAAACGTACAGCTTGTACTTGTCCTCTCATATGATTCTGGATATAACATCGTATTGTCAACAGAAGTTAGCTCAGGGCATTTAAAAATCTGTGAGAACATCTTCCACACCTTGATTTAGGGAATAAAAGTCAAAAGTAGAAGTTAGCTGCGTGAATGCTCCCCTGCTCCTCTGAGGCCACAAATGTTTACTATAAAAAGGTATATAGAACCATAAATGAACATTATGTTTTACAGTGAAAAATATTCCCATTTCAAAAATCTTCACAATGAACAATCCAGTCCTCCAAACTTCTAACTTAATGTTCTCAGTTTAACTGAATAGCTCTGTAAATATTTGCAAGACTAGGCTATAAATCTGAAAAGAACATAGCAGTCAAGAAATGTTGAAGAGATTATTAATGAAAGATGAAAGTTACTCCTCTGAGGATGAAGTTTTTAAAAAAGGATTTAAAGGAGAGCAAAGAAGACCTCCGGTAGATAAGAAGAATCTTCCAGGTGTAAGGGCAGCTCTGGAAAGGTAGGAAGTTGATGGGGACAGGAGGGAAGGAAGGCAGCAGTAAGGTCAAAGGGCTAAGGAGAGCATGGGGAACTGGAGGGGGAGGAAGAAGAAATGAGAGTAGAAAAGCAGATGAAGGGAAATGAAACTTCTTTTTTTAATATTTAGCTGCTCTGTTATTGAATCAAGTTGACAGGTGTGGCAGTTAATGTAAACTGGGTCTTTAAATCCTGAAACAGTTCAGAACAGTTGATTGGATTGACCCCCAAAAGCTGTGCGTCTTTAAAAATACATCCCATGGTCAACTTGTGGCACTCTTCCTGTGCTCAGAGGAGTGGACAGGAGGGACACAGGCAGCCTTGCCAGGAGCTCTGGAGATGCCCTGTTTTCTATATTGTACTGAATACAGAAGCCAGACCAGTTCTCCATTCCAGTGTTTCTGAAAGCATGAGCTGGGATTAACATGAGCTACCTGTGGGTAGCTGCTCCACTGCACCCACCACCTCTCCCAGGAGTTTAACACCACTGGAAGGATGACACTGTCAGCACACAGGGACAGCTCATACCCGTGGGAGTCGCAGCTCCCCCAAACCAAAGTCACTCCATAAATACAGCCACTAATCTCACACCATCCACAAACAACAGAAAAAGCCGTATTTCATCCCTCCCTGGCTAGCATTATCAGGGTTGTTTCAACAAAACGGCTGCTAATTTCTCCTCACAGTAATGAAAAATGAGCATTCCTATGAGCACCTTTGGTTTCTCCCCACGTTCTTGGTGCCTGTGGGTAGTTTTCTGCAGGACTCGCCAAAATACTATAAACATATTTCAGAGCATTTACTGTGTATTTATCTGAGCCCAGTAAAAGAATGGGAAACAGCTGTATAGTATCTATTTGATCACATGGAACATCTGGTAAGTTGAAACTCTGTCAGGCCGTGCTAAGCCCACACCCGCTGACAGTATAAACCTACTTAAATGTGAAGGTAAAACCTTCACATCTGCTGCATATTGTTTCTCTTAAGTTATTTTCACAAATATGGCACTGCCTCAGCACTGTGGGCATAAATCTGGGATATGTCATGATTATCAGATCCTTCTTGTTGCAAGACAAATGCCACAAGTGTGCTATGAGTAAACCTGTGACTGGAAAATGAAGAAGAAGCTAAAGCAGATTATGCGAACCAAAGCTTAATTTAGAGCATGAAAAATGTCCATAAAACTTCAATGGCAAAAATGTTCAATTTCTAGGCCAAATCTTGTAAATCTGACTCTGTTCCTACTGTGGCAACACTTTTGTTGAAATCAAAGAGCTGTACCTGTCTTTACAGAACAGTTCACACAGCTACAGCACGTGCAGTAGCCATTCACAGAGCCGTTCAAGTGATACCTGCAGCCTGTGGATTTTGAATGGGACAGAAGTTTGGAAGGGACATTGCAGAAAGACATTCAAGTATTGGGTTTTATTTTCCACCTGTGATATTACAGACATACAATTTCTTTGAGCCATAGTCCAGGCCTCTCAGACCCCGATTTTCTCCATAGCCATCCTGTCCACTAGTCACTCCCAACTTGAATTCACTGTTCTTGAACACAACACTGAGAACCACATATGGGATGACTCCCACAAGGGCCACATAATGGAAACTCAAGGCAGTACTATAGACAAATCCATACATTCTTCAAACTAATGAACTGACAGCTTAGAGTAAAACTCAGAAACAAACTGGAGACTATAAGAGTACATGTACCATCTTCTGCTAAAATTACTCTAACATTTTTCTATTCTCTGTCACAGAGTTGAATCAGAGGAGTAAAGGAGTACCTCTTCACCTGAGTCTCACCTGTCCTATGAATGAGTACTTGGTAACTAGCTGTTGGGACATTCTTCCAAAACAGAAATAGGTACTTGGCAATGCCGTTGGCAAGAAAAAGGAAGGTACTTTCTGGGAAGTATTCTGATCACAGTGTCACACTTGCAGAATATTTGCACATCACTTAAATCACATCTGAAGCAATCACCTGAGCCACAAGGCACTTGCTGTGCCAGGCTCAATGCCATCTGCATTCACTAGCCAAGCTTCAAATGCACAGAACACACTGAAGTCTTTAAGAACTTGGGCAGAGTTTACACCCTTCTCTCTTTACTATCCAGATGGTATTAGACCTTAACCAGCACTTGGGTTTCATGAATTGAAGAACTGAGTTCCCCAAACTCTAACTGGGGCATTTCAAATGTGCACCATGCCCTTGGGTAAGAGGACGGATTTTCAGAAACAACAATAAGACAAATTTAGAGAATTTCAATACCTTCAAGTACGGCATTAAATGGCCTACAGATAATAAATAGAAAATATAAATAGAAATAAACAGAAAAATGAAAAACAGTTTTTATATTTTAAGAGAATCAAAAAAAGGTGAACTTTGCAGAAATACACATGTACTTATATTAAACACTAACCAGGTCAGGTATATGATTTTGTTTCAGGAAAAATACTTACTAAATTGAACTATATGAAGTATTTTTATGTAATAAAATATAAAAAGTAGTTATAGCAAATACTTAGGGGTTACTGCTTATTGAATAATACAGTATCTCTGTTAAAAAGTAATGACTACCAAAGTATCATGTTTTAAGTATCAAAAAGGAAATAGTGGACATAAAAGACTAAGAGCCTGGAAAATTTGTTTTTCCATGTATCAAGCCTTGCCAAGGGAGAACAAAAAGCATATAAAACCACAAAAAAATTGCTTCCCTCAAAACAGAATGCAGCCAAAGAGTATTTTTTTAAAAATAGGAAAAGCAAAACCAAACCATTCAGCTTGAGACATCGAATGCCAAATTTCTGTATGGAAACATTCTCCTTCAACTATAAATAGCTGAAAATTCAAGTTTATTATAGAAAATCCTAGTAACTCTTAATTAGAACAGTATAATCTAGTTAAAATAACCATAAATGTAATTAAATTAAATAAACACACTTTTTTAAGCTCTGCCACTGCTTCACTACTTCTAGTAAAGGTGCTGAGGTTCCTTCAGCCTTCTGATTTTTATTCCATGAAGTTCATTCACATGGACAAAAATAGCACTGGTAAATATTACCCAGAGCTGCTCAAAAGTAACTGAAAGGACCCGAAAGTAAGGGAGAAGAATCTGGAGATTCAGGCATTTTCAGTCTTTCTAACCAAAGATGAAGCTCTGCTTCCTTTTTCCACAAGGTGGTGGTCTGGCACAGAGGACAATTGAACAAAGGTAGGTCCATCTTGCACAAGGAAGAATTATTTAGGACAGCAGTTTTAAATAAGGATCAGCAGGGAGGTGGCATCATAACTCCATATGTATATCTGCAATGAGATGGAAAAATGCCCAAAAACCAGGAGAAGTTTATGAGATAAATAATATGACTGCTGGAAGGAGAACAAAGAAAAGAGTGGTCAATCTTCTGAACACATAGATGTCTCTAAACTTTACAATACATAGAGGAAATAAAGAGGAAGAAATTAAAATCTTAGTACATAACCAAATAATGATTGAAGTGGTACTCAGAGACTTGTTTATATAGTTCACACTATTGGAAGGCAGAAATAAAATCTATTAATTCCTAAGTTAACTAGGGAGAAAATGGAGAAGATTCACCTGTGAGATATAAATACTATATACAGATATTCAGAAAACAGTGGGCACACCTGTGAATATTCCTCAGTAAAGATAAGCTGAGTATTCATCCTGGAACTTCTGTTGCATGCTGCTAACATGACTGGGAGAACAGTAGCCAGAAAGGGACCATGACTAAAAAATCCCTCATCAACACTTGAGAATCTTTCATCAAGTAAATTTTTCTTATGATATCACTGTATATGCATGACCTGAATGGCAACACAGACATACCACAAACAAAGCAGTTGCAAGTGCTTTAGACAACAGGACCAAATTTCAAATTCCAAAATACAAAATTCCATTGACATACTAGATGCATTTCAATAAAAACAATATATTAGAAACACTTATGACTATCCATATCTGATGCTGACTAATCAAAAGAATTTTTGCATGTTGTGCTTTACAAGTCCTATCATATTTCTCCATTGTAATAATTTTGATCCCCCCCAAAAAAGATTCTTGTAAAACTGAGGATAGAATGTACCTGGCTAAACAGCTCTATAAAAAAAGGACTGGGAAATTAGCAAACTGAAAATAAGTAAATAACATCATGCTCTCAAGAAAAAAAAAATGAAATGGCAAATCTGATCCTAACCTATAAACTGAGATGTCATAGATAAAATAGTAGCCTGGCACTTAATGAGTATAAATACTGTGTCTAGTTTTGGACTTCCTACTTCAAAAAATAATTCAATCAAATGGAGATTGTCCATGGAAGGGTAAAATATTAAATGCAATTAATCATTAATGCAATAAATCATTACAGAATAAAATTAGTTAAATGCAGAGTTA